ATAAATAAAATACATAACTGATCCCTGGAATTTATCTGCCACAATAATTACTTCTTTCTTTCTTTTAAAAAACAAAACAAAACATTTTATTGGGGGGCTCTTACAGCTCTTATCACCATCCATACATCCATTATGTAAAGCACACTTATACATATGTTGTCATCATTCTTTTTAAAATATTTTCTTTCTATTGGAGCCCTTGGTATCAGTTCCTCATCCTTTTCCTCCCTCCCCCACCCTCTGTTCGACTTTTGGCTAAGATCAAGTATAGTGTCTGTTCTTATCAGTTTAATTACTTATTTCTTGCTCAACTTTTGTTTACGTGATTTCAAACTTATTAGGAGCCATTTGTGAGGCATTTTGACAGGAAGTCAAGCTTGATAGACTTTAATTTTTAGGAGTTGTCAATTTTAAAATTACAGCTATATTTATATTTTAGCCATATTGTGTGTAGAAATGATGACATTTGCTAATGATAGTAAAAATGGCAGATTTTCTTAGCTTTTGAAATAAAAAATATGGCAAAAAGCTATGAAAAATATCACTTTTCAAAATAAAGGCTGTTTTAGTGCTCAAAACCTATACTTAGTTATGATGAATAAAAAAAGGAAATACTTAGTTGTTTATAGACATTGTTACTTTGCCTTTTATTTAGATGCCATACCCCAAAGATGGCATTTTCCTTTCACAATTAATCAAAATTAACACAATCCTGAACTTTGCATGTGCATAAATACACTGTGAAAATGGAATCAATGGCTCAGATCACTTGGAAAAACAACAAAAAAAGAGGTTTATATCTAAAGTCAGAGAAAAGGCTACTTACTGGTTATTGATTTCTTATAAAATAGTCTAATTTTGCTTACTAGTATTCTTTTTTGTGATGTCAATAACATATTTTATATAGGTTTTGATAAAGAATCTTTGGCATTTCTAGTATCATGGAATTGTGCCATTCTCAAAAGAACAGCAACCTCAGTTGGCTGAAAGGACTGTGAGGACTCAGATGGAGACTACAGTTCTGAAGGAAAAGGCAGAAGGTCCTCCCTATGAGTGGGCGTTTGAGCTCATCCAGTCACTAACGAAACACAAATAAAGTGAATATATTTGCAGTTTAGTAAAATGACAGCCCTTGCATTGGGAGTGTCCGTGTTGTTATCTTCTCAGCACACTTATGATTTTGTAACACTGGAAATTGAGGTTCTTGACGGTCCATGAAAGGTCTATTAGCTAAGTGGAAAAAGTTGTGGTGCACATAGTTGTGGGACTCTAGATGTTTTAAATTAATTTCTTTGCTTCTCAGTTTTCTCATCTATAAAAGAGGATACATATGATAGCAATCCATATTATAGGATTGCTGAGAGAGTTAGAGGTCATACTGTATATAAATTACCCGCTTATAGAAGGAGCTCAATGATAGCTAATTAGATGATCAATGGGATTCGATCTAAAAGCTGATTAGACTTAGAAGCTCAATTTTAACTTCATAGGGAACTGTCTAACTGGAATTACTAGAAATGAATATTTGAAGAAGAAACTAGCAAGCCAAACTTAACATTACCCAGGCACATATAAGCTTGATTTGATATCACTGTATGGCCAATAAACTTTATACTATTTTTTACATAGTAATGTAACTAAAAAAAGGCAGGGATGTATAGTCTAATCCAGTGTTATGCACACAGTCAGAACAAAGGGACGAGAAGGAGAAAATTAGAGCATTAGCTTTATCATTGATTTGGATAGCTTAAAACTAGGAAAACTTGATATATGTCTCTTCCTTAATCAAGTCATTTAATGGACAGACTAAATGAACATGTCCTAGGACACACCGCTGGTAATAAGGATGCAGAACACATATAATTAAGTGTCGATAGACTAGGAGAAGCACAGTAAGAACTGCCTAAGAGAATTTTTAGAACCTGTGAGAAAAGGGATCCTCTTAGAACCTAAATGATTCCTCCCACTTCACTAGTGATGAGTAATTAGAGGGCGCTGCCATAGCTATCAGTCTCTCTTGTATACCTTGAGTACCTGGTCCACAGCTGTTAAGACAAGCTATAGGTAGGTAACGTTAAAAAAATTTTCTTGTCACAACATTCTAAATTACAGGACCCGCTCAAGTAAAGTTATATGCAGTTATCCAATGAACACAAGCCGCAGGACTTCGGCCATCTGAAATCCGGGGCTCAGGATCGGTTAAATGAGACCTGGTGAAGTTGCGTGATACGTGCCGGGTGGTGAGCTGCAAAGTCAGCAGTAGGAACCCACCAGCTGCTCTGCTGGGAGAATACGAGGCTCTCTGTGTCAATAAGATCTACATCCTTAGGAACCTAAACAGGGCCATGTCTACTCTATTCTGGAGGGTCATGCAGAGTTGACTCAATGGTAGTAAATTTTTGGATAGGCAAAATAAGACAAGCAGCAGCCGGTGAAATCCTGTCTTAATCTGAATGATCGGTGCTACGCTATTCGAATCTTTACCTGTGATGCCTTCATATTTTATCTTCCCAAACTGTGTGGTCCCGAATAATGGAGTCCCCTGAAATCTACACATTCTTTCATCCCTTCATCACAAATTGAAAACCCCTCACTCGGGGCCTTTGCATACCTACCCGAAGGACGGCGTGGCAACCCAAACAAGGGTCTTATTCTCATAGCTCGCTCTTACTGGATGAGAGTGACTGCGACGCTGTTGTGTTTAGTGAGCCAAATTTATTTTTCTTTTGGCATGTGGCTGTATTATTTTTCCCTGGCTGCCCTGATATTATGTGGAACTGTATGACTTATCTTTGGCCTAGGTGATAGTAGTATTAGGCCCAGGTGATAAAAATCTCTGGTTTTGATTTTTGTTTTGCTATTTGCTTGTTTTGTTTTATTTATGAGACTCTGAGACAAAAATGTCAATCTTTAAAAGGAATTCTATAATTATTCTAAAGTGCCCAGACTCCAGACTGATTAAGGAATTAGTGAATACTTTGGACCCCTAGTTACAATGATGTAAATTATTCTAGTGCTGAATTATATGCTTTTAAAAAATACTCAACATTCTCCTTTCAGCCACAGCTGCAGGGAGCAACAAGCTCTATGCATCTCTCACCTAACTTCCCACAGAGAACTAGATAGCATTTCTCCTCTTCGGCCAGTGCAGGCAATCAACCTCTCTCTTTCTCTCGCTCTGCTCGCACATGTGTGTGTGTGTGGGGGGGGGGCATGCACACATGCATGTATTGGGTCTTACTAGATGTCATAACATGTCACTTTTTCTGTACGTGCACGGAAGCTGGCGGGGTGGTGACACCCACAAAGTGATCCCTGATCAGAGGATGACAGGAATGGATCAATGCTTTCTTTTTCTTCCCATTCTGCCAGTGCTGAGCCACA